TGAGTGCTGGACTTTGAGCTAGGCTGCTCCACTCATTTTGTACAGGATTAGACTCTCCAAGATGCTTAATTTCTGTAGGATGTCATTCCACATTCCACCTTTTTCCTAACAGTTGCAAATCCATTGGCTTGAGGTTAACCCTCTTGTACTGGGAATCTCTTCTCATAACAGAATTGTAATTTAAACAATGTAATAAGTTTACAGAGTATTCCGAGGAGAAACTTGCTCCTTTGGTGCAGGTAGGGATAGCTTCTTAGGTTCATCAAAGCAACCTGATTTTAGGGAGAAAAAGGGACACTGAAGAGCGAATAGTTAAATGAAATAAGAACCAATAGGCTGTTGCCAGTGCAGATTTGTACTATTTTGGTAAGTCTACGTCTGCTAACACCCACAGCAGTGATACTATTTTTGTAACTGCCACTTTGCACCCAGCAAAATTTGATGGATTTGTATAATCTAATATGTGCACTATAGTTCTTAAGATGTGTATCATTGTGCATAAATTACTGTACCACATAAGCTGTGTAGGGTTGTATAGCTTTTACTGAAAATGAAATTTGGTTCAGTACACGTAGTATTAAAAAAAAAAAAAATTTAAATTGCCCCTATTGATGTTTTGCACTTTTTTAGCATCTGACAATCTAGACACTCAGAGCACTTCATGCACATTTATATTTGCTTGAGTTTTAACTGAATTTGTAACCTTAATCTTTACAGAAGTAAAAATAGCCCTTATGTAGTACCACACAGTGTCTCATAGTTGCAGAATCACAAGATTTAAGTCTGTCTTCAAGGTGTTGTGCTTACTCAGCTGTGTAATTTACTTCAGTAAAATATCATCAGAATTTGGTAGCATGCTCATGGGAATTTCTGCTATCTACTTAGTTCCAGTATTTTTTAATTAAACTAAGGTGGACTTTTTTTCCCCTTCCCCTTTCTTTCCCCATACGTTATGTGTCAAAGCAAATTAAGCTATGTTAAAGAAAAATTTAAGCTCTTGTAAAACTTACGTGTGTGATCAAAATAGCAAAAGTGGTCTCTGAATTGTAGAGAAGGTGATAACATATGACAAACTTTTCTGATGCAGTTCCCTTGAGATAGTGTTATACTTAGGATATTGGCTATGCTTATTAAAAAAATAATGGTATTGATTGCATCTTTACTTTCCTGTGATGACTTTCATACCAGATGTCTCCAGTTTACAAGCCAAAAATCATATGTGAGAATCGAGCTGTGTTGTTTCTGCCTCTGATACGCTTCTTACTAGATAAAGGTTTTGAAAGTGGCTCTGGTGGGCAGGTATGTTGGTTGGAGGAGGTCGGATATTTCATCTGCCACACCTGATTTTGCTCTGCAGTGCAACCCAGTCTGTCTTCTACCTGTATCATTACCAGGGCATATAGATCTCCACAACAGTCCATGTCCACATAGTGTGTCAGCTTATGAAAGCATTAACCAAACCCAGAAGGTGTTTCTCTGGCTGCTCTGGGCTGTGAGCAAAGGCGCCAAAAGCCTTCCTATGCCTGGTACACCTCTCAGCTCACTAGTCACCACCAGGCCTTTTGGGATCCCAGTTTCCCCTGCCTTCCATAAAGCCCAGGAGGTACCTGCAGTAAAATAGTATTGCTGCATTTGATGAAGGGGAAAGGTAAGAACCAGGCCTAAACTCATTTCTACCAGGCTGTTGTGTTGCCAACATTGAATTAAGTGGGCAAGTGGCCCGAGAGAAGAATGGTGAGGATTGGATTTTGGCTTGCTTAAAGATCCAGAGTGAGCTGGGACCAAGACAGGATGTCCAACTTCCATTCTTCCCTTTAGCAGTAGGGAAAAAATGGAAGGGGCAATTAATGGAGGAGAGCTTTTGATCTAGTCGTTTTTGTGATGATTGCACTAGTAATTCCTTGGGAGTAGCAAGCATCCTAAGGTACAGTGTGTAGGTGTGCTGCGGCCCCAGCCAGCTGTGTGCTGCCTGAAGTGGAGCTTGTCCCCTCTAGATGGGAAGGCTTCCAGGAGGTGAGGTCTGGCACATCTCCTTGTCATGTTCTTGACTTGACATTTGTTCATCGTTCCAGCGGTTTTGTTAGATTCCCTTTCCTTCTGGGTTTTTAAGTGGTTATTCAGAGCTAGATATTTGATGCGATAATGGTTCATATTGCTATCAGCAGTAGCAGTAAATCCATAGTGTGCATATAGCTGTTAAGTATTCAGCAGTGTTACTGTGTGTCTTTAGTACTGTAGTTCCTTTTTCTGTAATCAGGCAGCTTTTACAGGTTTTTAATAAGACCTCTAACTTGACAGAGCTTTTAACTACAGTCCTAGGTAGAACATTCAGGTAGAAAAATAAGTTCATTTAGTAATTTTCACAGCCCTTAAAATGCATTGGTAGGAATCTGGAGGAGAGACCTTTCCCTTTTCCCCCAGACTCCAACTTAGTGTACACTGTAAAACTTGCACAGAGATTTCTGATGTGTGAAGATTTAATTTTAAAACTGTAGAACCAACAACCTTCTTTAAACATTTTATATTGTGTGCTAAATATTCATATGCCTTTTAAAGTCAGATATAGTCCACTGCATTTCTTGCTTTTGCACTACTGAAGTTTTGTACTGAATACTAGGAGTCAATGCTACTTACACTTCAAGTGTGAACTGATGAAATTTGAATAGAAAATATTTTCACAGAGTTAGAAAACTTCATTTTCCCTTCTGAAATAACAAAGCTGAGCGCAACGCCTGTGCCAAAACTCTTGTGCTGTAAACTGAATATATAATTTGTGTGGAACATGCAATGTTACACTTCTGTGTGGTAAAACCTTGCAGCGTCAGTTATTCTCTTTATTGCACTTGACGTATGATGTCTTGATGTATTCACACTGTGGATTTGACTTTTCCAGTGTAAAACCAAAGCAAACAAACAAAAAGAAATCATGCGATGTATTCAATTTCCTCAATTGGTGTCATAAACTTTCTTTTGATGTGAACTTTTTCCTTTGCTTCTCTTTGTTCCAAACTTCTATTTTGCAATAAACATTTTGACAGTAACCTTTATGCATCTGTGTCCCTGTGTAAAATGCCGGTGTTTCAGGAAGTTCCTTATTGTCTGCTGGTTTAAGTCACTTTTTGTATTACTCATTGTGTGACATTTCTCTTTTATTCTTCCTTTTTTTTTAAATAAATAATACAGAACATATTCTGCCACTGGTTATATTTAAACATGGGGAAAAGCTGAAAAAATCCATTGTGCAACTGAAAATGCAATATTTGACTTCTGCAGTAAATTATTCAGTTGTACAAATTGTTGTACCAGGCTCCTCCCGCAGCACCAGACGGTTTGACTCTGAGTACCTACAAAAGACTCGACCCACTGCCTTCCTCAGGATGTTTACAATTACCACTTGCCTTCCCGTGTGCTCAGGTGTTTCCCCCAGCACTACTTTTGCCCCACAGCTGCGAGTAGCTGTTAGCATAGGGAATACCTGACTAACAGCAGGTAGGTTAAGAAGGCTGGCTGGAAGTATGGTGTAGTAGAGGAAGGAAGGTCTCTCTCTTCCCCCCCCCTCCCCCCCCCCGGCAGAGACATCTTCCCTTCTGCTGCTTCACCCTGATGCTTTTGGCTCTGTTCCGTTTGGGAAGCAGTGGGCGAAGGGATGGGTTTGAGGGTCCGCTAGGACCTCCTGGCAGGAGTGGCTTCAGCTGGTCTTACGGATGGTTTTTGCGCAGCAAGGTTTGGTGGAGGAGGAGGAAGAAGATCTGAAGAGTCCTCAAAGTGGGGTAGGCAGCAAAAAGTCATAGATACAGAGGCAGAAGTCAAGGGGTGTTGGGCAGTCACAAGTCCTCCAATGGGATTTTCATGTGGATGCTGCAAAGGGTGTTTCACAGCAATGGCTGAAAGTTGTGGGTGGATTACAGTAGAGCCTGGTCTTGTGCCTAGAGAGCCAGGGAAGCGCTCAGGCACTGGCCTGTGGGTGGGGGCTGGAGAGCATGGGTTGCAGGGCTCTCCGGAGGAGGTAACAAAGCCTTGGAGCTGTTGGGTAACTGAGCTGAGTCTCTCATAACTCTCATAAGCAACTACATCATAGTGTTGAGCCTTTGGTTGACACTGACAGTGCAAATACATACATGCCAATTAATGTTAACCCTTCAGCCAGATAAAAATGCCAAGAGGGTGAGGCTCGGGATACCATATGCTTCAGTGAGTAAAATGGCAATCAGTAGTACAGTGACATCTTCTCCTGTGCCAGTTTTCAAATCATCCCAGAATCCCAGAATTTCACTTAGCGCAGACATTCTCCTGTGCATCCTCCATGGCTTCCTTGTGCTTCAAGAGCTAACACCATCCTGCATACAACAGTGTGCTCCGCTTGGGCTGCAGCACTGGAGGAAGCTGGGAAGTGCTGCACTCCCCCAGCCTCAGGGGAGCAGTTACAAAGCATTGGCAGAAACCAAGAGAGACTTGTCTGTACAGGAAGACTAGCCAACGTGGCCCGATTCCAAATTCTGCTTTCGGTGCTGTCTAGTGACAGTTTTCCTTCCTTTTGCAGAAAATACCCACCATTCAGGAGAGAGTCGTAATCACAGCGTTATTTTCATTGCAGAAATCAAGTGGTACCAAAGCCATGGCCAAAGCCTTCCCATAGTGTCAGAGTCAAGGGCAGAGGCAGCTAGAGAGTCCCTTGCCATTGGACGGTTTACGTACAACGAATAAGTTTGCAACTACATCGTGGTATTGAGCCTTTGGGCTTAAAAAATGTTTCTATTGGAGATCCGCTGATAATTTTTTCTACATAAAGGGTTAGGATCAATTTAGTGCTGCCACTGTGCCGTTGCAGCCAGCCCGTGGTCAGTGTGAATCCAAGGGTTTAGTGTGTCAGTTGCAGCCTAAAGTCCTGCCCTTTGCAGGGGAAAAGAAACTGAATAAAATCGGCCACCGGAGTGTAATTTGGGTGGAGGGGAGAAAAATGGTCAGACGGGTTTTTTTTTCAATTCGTATCTCTCACACAGTTGCTGCCCTCCTTTGATATTTGTGCATGGACTGAAGAAGATGTGGTGAGTATTTTGTGTTAATGGGTCCAGCGTTGCGCTGCTGGAGCTCTCTGGCAAATTACAGTGGGTACAGAGGGAGGGAAAGCTGGATCAGAACATCTAAGTGGGATTTTACTGCTATTCGTTTGGTGAGACTTGTGTCCCAGAAAGGCTTTAAAATGACCAATGGGTAAATTATGGACTTGAGCGACCTTCATAAAACAGCCATATTCTTCAATGTTCAGAAAATA